TCAGAAATCAGATTTTCCAGATATCAGAGTTTTGAGCAGTGATCATGTATGAAAATAAGACCGTAGCGCTAGCGAGGTGGAGTGGCTAGCGCCGCCCCAACACAAAGCGAGCGGCAGTCCAGGAGAGGTTAGGTTCTGTATCTTTACAGTTCACACAGTTTAGAGTAGGCCTATGCTTGAACCCAGTACATGACATCACATTCACCACAGGTTCAAGGTTTATTGCGACAGCTGAGTCACTGTCGTTGAATGAAAGATGAATCAATGAGGTTCCGTACACTAACTACAACAACACCGAGACTGTTTTGAAAATTATACTTAGAAATACGGTTGTGCAATGCAATAGGCATTACTCTGTTTTTAATGGGAGTATTTTGTTGCTAGTTTAGGTCTTACCACTAGTGTACATACAAATGTATCTACTGCAAATGACAAAGAGAGGTTATCCCTTCATCAACCCTAGGAAACACTGTTGTTATCACTCACCGCAGCGCCGTATGGCTTCATAGTTGTTCTTTGACTTTCGGTGGCACCTTTTATCATCACTAGTCAGTTCCTTCCACTCTGAAGTGGTGAAAAACTCTTTGATATCCTCATATTCGCTATCGTCACACTCGCCGCTCGACATGGTGGTCAACACCGCAGGCTGGGCTGGGCTACACCGTCTGCTGTCGCTGCGCGTCGTCATCCTCAGCCCACCACCGCATTGCACTGTCTGTAAAGCACCTTTCTTAGCTGGTAGCACTTGGTTAACTAATTCCAGAACGTTGTGGTCGGTCTCAATTAATGACCATAATTCGTATTACAATTGATATGCTCGTAGACATTATGTATTTTCACTCCTAGGAAAAGAAAGAACAGTGTGTATCCTTTTTGCCTGCCAAGATCAAAACTACGAGACAAACCTTTGTCGCAGGTCTGGCATACGTAAGGTTTTTCACCGGTGTGGTGGGGGAGCTGCCACTTTCCCGCCAACCGCCCCGCACCTGCAGCTAGTGCATAGGCAACCCAACGTACTGGCATGTCTCAGCCTGGACACCCGGTACCACAAACTAGAGGCGGAATCCGGGGCAAACGAGAAGAAGCACTGCGGCACGAAGGTAAACTTTAGGCGAAGTTTAGATTCGCTTCGGACCTCACGGGCTCAGGGTAGCGCAGAAATTAAATAATTGTACGGTATGTTTTTGTACAGATTTATTGGTAGAATCATTGAAGCAACAAACAACGCTAACAGCGAAAGTGCAAAATAATTGTCAAAATACTAATGCATACAGGGTCACTTAAAAAGAACAAACAAAAGATATTGAGAATAGAATACTAAGGCTAACTACAGAAAAAACATGGAACAATCTGGTTAAGTATTGGACGCTCTAGCAAAGGACTTGAAAATAAAGTGTCTAGTACCACTTCTGTTGTGTCCTCATGAGTCGATTTAGAAAATAAGTCATGTGAAAACCAGCGGCCCAAGTACGTCTGCCATGCGTAAGCTACGGTTCAACTCTGTGAGTCCACATGTGTCTACGGAGTGTGGTGCTTGCAGTAAATCCTTTGTCACAAATCTGGCAGATGTAAGGTTTCTCACTTGCGTGAGTCCACATGTGTCTACGGAGTGTGGTGCTTGCAGTAAATCCTTTGTCACAAATCTGGCAGATGTAAGGTTTCTCACTTGCGTGAGTCCACATGTGTCTACGCAGGTTGGTATTCTTAGCAAATCCGTGGCTGCAAGTCTGGCATACATACGGTTTCTCACCTGTGTGAGTCCTCACGTGTAAGCGGAGACTTGTGCTGGTAATGAACACTTTGCCGCAAGTCTGGCATTCGTATGGTTTCTCACCTGTGTGAGTCCTTATGTGTACACGGAGTTTTGTGCTCTCTCTAAACCATTTGCCGCAAGTCTGGCATTCGTAAGGTTTCTCACCTGTGTGCGTCATCATGTGTCTACGGAATGTAGTGCTGTCACTAAACCCTTTGCCGCAAGTATGGCATTCATAAGGTTTCTCTCCTGTGTGAGTCCTTATGTGTCTACGGAATGTAGTGCTGTCACTAAACCCTCTGCCGCAAGTCTGGCATT